AAAACCGAATAAAACTCGATTTATTTAAATCGTGATTTATAATACGACTCGGTTTACAACCCGCATAAATTTTTTCGATTTGTTCACAAACATAATCAGACTTGCGACGCGTCGTAATACTGTTTTACGACTGAGATTTAAGCTGCTGACAATGAGCTGATTTGTCAGTTTACAACGCGTTTTTTAAATTATAAATTGGACAAAGGCTGGTTGTGTAAACACTTGAGGTTACGAGACTAATTGTAATGTTTGCAATTGCAAATTAAAAGCCAAATCAGGAAGAGCTGATCTATTGCAACACGCACGCTCGCAAAAGCATCGAAAAAGCTGTAGCAGCATAAAAAGTCAGAAAAAAGTAGGCGACTTTTTTAAGACTTCATTGAAAATGTAATGAACGCAAAAAAGGCTGAAATATTGCTATACTCCTTCTTAGCAGAACGTAATTTAGCATTTTCGACAACCGACTGTAGCCGCTTTAAACTTTAAACCGATTATGTAGCCGCTTTAAACTTGCACATTATTCCCTGAAATTCAATGGGCTATCAAACTGCATACTCAAAAAAATTAAAAAAAAATCTGAATAAAAAGGTTAAAACATAGCTGAAATTTGCAGATATTTTATAATTTTTGCACAAAGTTCGAAGTGTGGATTTATATTTTGTTTGTTATATAATGAGCTTGGCTTTCATGGAAAAATAATAAACATTAAATAAACAAAATCAAACAAATGACTTAATCAGCTGATCACAAGTGTATGTATAAAATCATTTTTATATTAACGATCTCAAACCAGCGCACTGCTTATCACCACCTGTCACCTGTTAAAAAAGTTTAATTAAATTAATACGCGGAAAAGTTTGAACGGATTTGCATGAAATTTTGCTTATGACCTACAGTGGAAAATAGGCTAATTTTTTGGAAGAGTTGCCACCTGTTAAAAAAGTTTTAATTAAATTAATACGCGGAAACGACGGAACAGATTTGCATGACGTTTCTCACAGAGATAGCTTATGACCTATGTTGGAAAATAGGCTAATATTTTAAGAGTTAGCACGTATTAGGAAAGTTTAATTAAATTAATACGCGTAAATGACTGAACTGATTTGCATGAAAGTTTGCACACAAATAGCTTATGACCTAGACTGGAAAATAGGCTACTTTTTTATAAATTGCCACCTGTTTGAAAATAAAATTTTGTTCCAAGATGGTTTATGACCTGGATTGAAAAATAGGCTAC